TCACTATAAATTATCCTTTTAAGAGACTAAAGGAGAAAATATGATTATCTCAGTATAATGCAGAAAAATCACTCCCCAAAATTCCACACCCAATCATTGGAAATTAGATGGAAGAAAACTTCCTCAATTTTAAAAAGGTTATCTACAAACAAAACACAGACATCAAACTTAATGATTAATAGTTGAAAACTATCCTTTGAGATTAGGAACAAGAAAAAAAACAGCTTCTATTTAACATTGTACTTTGGGTCCACCAGAGAAAATAAAAGGAATAAGATTTGAATGGAAGAAACAAAACTGTTATCACTTGCAGATTATATGACTATCTACATAGAAAATAAAAAGAAAAGTAACAGATGAATTATGAGAATTAATGTAAATTAAGAAAGCTTGCCAGACTCAAAAGTATTCATAGTCAATTATATTTCAAAACACCAGCAACAATCAGGAAATTTAGTTTTTAAAAAATTAACAATAGAAATAAAAAATACAAAGAAGCTAAGAAATACAAAAGATGTACAAGATCCCTATGAAAACACTGTAAAACTTTATCAAGACAAAAAATTCTGAATAGAAAGATATACTATATAATTGGAGAAGACTCAATTTTATAACATGTCTGTCACCCTCAAATGATATAATGATTGAATACAGTAACATAAATTCCCAACAGAGTACTTTATTTGATAATCTCACTTTAAAGTTTATACAAATGAGGAAGCACTGTGGAAAACAATTACACAGTTCCTCTAAGAGTTAAATGTAGAATAACCATATGACCCAGCATTTCAAATCCTAGGTACTCAAAAGAATTGAAAATAGGGGCTCAAATATTTGTATGCCAATTTCATAGCAGCGTTATTCACAATACACAAAAGATGGCAACAACCCAATATTCCATCAACAGATGAATGGATAAGCAAAATGCAGTATATAATGCAATGTAATCTTATTCAGCCATAAAAAGGAATGAGGTTCTGATATACACTATAACAGAGATTGAACCTTGAAAACATTGTGGTAAGTAAAATAAACCAGACTCAAAAAGACAAACATTATATTATTCCAATTAATTGGAATATCTAGAAAAAAGCCAAATTCACAAAGATAGTAAGATTAGAATTTACCAGGGACTGAGGAAAGGAATATGAGATATTGCATAATGGGTATAGAGTTTCTGTCAGAGAAATGAACTAGATAGTGGTAATATTGTACAACACTGTGAATGTAATTAATGCCACTGAATTGTATGCTAAACTATAGTTAAAATGACAAATAATAAGTTTTACATATTTTACTACAAAATAAAAATAAAGAAAATTAGAAAACCCACAAAAGGCTCCAAAAAAATCCCAAAATATTCCTGAAGAACCAGATAGAATATTTAAACTTCTAATTTAACATTTCAACATTTAAACTTGTAATAAAGCTTTTGTAATTTACATAATGTGGTTTTGTCAAAAGAATAAACAGACCAGTTGGACATAATAAATGACCTAGAAACAGATTACACATAAATGAAAACTTGATGTGTGATGGACTGTTTGCATGTTAGCAGGGAAAGGAGTATTTAATATATGACACAAGGACAACTGGTTATCCATATAGAGAAATAATGAAACTAGATCCCTATCTTAAACCAATTAAACAAAAAAATTCAGATTAAAGAAAGTTTTAAACATGAAAGGCAAAATGGAAAATTGTTTAGAATATAGAACATTTTATGGTCTCCATATTGGGAAAGTTTAAAGATGCAGAAAGCACAAAGCATTAAGAAAAATATTGAAATTATATTAAAATGAAGAACTTGTATTGCACAAAAGACAATCATCAAGCAAGCACAAAGACAAGCTACAAACTGAGAAGACATATTCAACTCATACAAGTATATGCTTTAAAAAATTCCTATAAATCAGTTAGAAAAAAATCAATCCAATAGACAAATGAGCAAAAGACATGAACCAGCATTTTTACAGAAGAGGAAACACAAATAGTTCATAATAGTTCATATGAAAAGTCACTTAGCTTTATTAATAACCACGGAAAAGCAAACAAAATCACAATGAAATATCATGTCACACTTACTAGATTAGTGAAGTATTTAAGGCCAAATGGTACCAAATGTTGTCAAGGATGTAGAGCAAGGAGGAGGCTGATGGGAGTGTAGATTGATACATATATTTTGGTAACCGTGACATTTCCAAGTAAATTTGGAGATATGTATACCAAGTGACCCAGCAGTCCATTCCTTGGTATGTGCTCTAGAGAGCGTGCAAGCCTTTGTGCTTGTTAGAAGGAGACATGTTATAAGAATGCTCAGTGTAGCATTGCTTAACAATACCAAACACCCCCAGAAATATTCAAATATGCAACAATAGCAGATTTGATAAATTGCAGTAAATTCACACAACAGAATATTATACAGGACATACATCAAATGAATAAATCTAGGGATGATTTTCAAAATATTTAATTCCCAGGCAGTACAGAAGCTGACTAATCAGAATGGACATCAAGTAAAAACAGGTACGGCCATGCAAGGGCACACCAGCTGAAAACAAGCAATGTATGAGTCTAAAATACATGCTTTTACTTAAAAATTAAGTCACAAAAGAAAACGTATGCTATGATTCCAAAACCAAATAACACACTGTTTAGAAATAGATGTGTGCATGGCAAAACTATAAAGAAAAGATTAACTGGAAATCAAGATAGTGGTACCCAAGATAGTGGAAATCAAGTAGGGATGAGAGGTGCATTGTAATCAGGGAAAGACAAATAGAAAGCTTCTAAGGTATGGTTCTAATCAATTCATTAATCTGGAAGTTAAACATGTTTACTTTTAAATGATACTTAGTTATAATATTCTTTTTGTACATACATTTTGAATTATAAAATTAAGAAAATAAAATTTACAGAAATGAGTATTAAGTCACAAAATCATCAAGGAAGCTGGAGAACCAGCCTCTGATCTTCGTAAGGAAGAGCAAGTTCTGAAATCATGCCACAGAACAGGTCTGGTGAGCTAACCGCTGTCACTATGAAGCCATACGCTGCAGCTTGTAGTACTGCCAGGGACCTTGATCTTCCTACAGATTCTATTGCTGGATAAGAATCCTCTTCAGATTCTCATTTTGACATCTTTACTCTGAGTCCAAATCTAGCACAGATTCCTCTAAACAAATCAAAGCCACTTGCCCACAGCCTATAGCTGCAAGGGAAGCTGGAAAAATGAATATGCAGAACTTAGGTTCTTTTTATAGGTCACCTCCTATAAGCTATTCACAATTCTAGATACTAGGAATATGATAGGGGACAAATTCTTTATCTTCACAGAATTTACATTCTTTGGAGGCAAGTACAAGTTAGATAACTACAATAAATACAAGACTTGTTTGGTGGGCCATACTACATTAGAGAAAGGAGGTTCAAATTTTGGGCATCTAAAAAGAATAAATGAATATAACATGAGTGACCCATATGACCATCTAAAAATATGTGCAGCAGAACTATTAGGTGAAAGAGAATACACACTTAAGGCTTCTGATACACATCACTAAACTTCTCCTTAAAAAGGTTACATAAGGGATGCCTGGGTGGCTCAGTGGTTGAGTGTCTGTCTTTGACTCAGGGCATGATCCCGCAGTCCCAGGATGGAGTCTCACATCAGGCTCCCTGCATGGAGTCTGCTTCTCCCTCTATGTCTCTGCCTCTCTCTTTGTGTCTCTCATGCATAAATAAATAAAATCTTTAAAAAAAAGTTACACAGATTTAAGTTCCATTACCGGACTAATTCATTTCCCCATGCTCTTCTCAAATATTCTTTTTAATATTTGCAGATTGAAGAAGGAAAATCTGATTTTCAATTGGGAGTTTTTTATTTATATTTATATTTTGATTTATATTATATTCTTTTGTAAGTTTCTTGTACATATCCATTGCTCAGTTTTCAATGCAGATATTAACTTTTATTTGTATAGATATTAATCTTTATTTTTGCCATATATAGTAAATATTTTTCCCAGTTTGTCATTTGCCTTCTCACTTTATGGTGTCTAAAAGCATTTTTTAGAAGTTTTATCTACTAATCTTTTCTTTCATAGTTTTACCCAATTCGTTTTTTTCTCAACTTAAGATTTTAAAGTCACATATTTTCTTCTGTTATGATATAGCTTAATTTTCCACAATTAACTCTTCAATCCTAAGGCTCCACTATCATTTTCCTCTAGTTATCTCCAGGCCATTTATTGGACAATTGTTTTTCCAGAATTAAAATGCTACATTTTAAATATAAAATAGTCTGGTACGCTTGGCTATTTGAAATTTCTTTTCCATTCCAATACGTTATCCTATCTCATCTTGCATCAGGAACACCAATTTAACTATTACAGTATTGTGATATGTTTTAATACCTGGCACTGTAAGCCTCTCATTTTGATTCTTTTCAAACACATTCTAAATTGATCCTTCTTCCCTTTAGGTCCATATCCAAAACAGAAATATGTAAGTAACCACATTTATGCAGATATTTTCTATAAGGAAAAGCTCAGGGCAATAAAGCTGTTCAAATCATTAAGCACTATGAGGAAAGCATTCCATCTACAAACATGTTAACCCCCTGTGCTTTTCCTTCAAAATTTGGGAAAACTACCCAGAACCCTTCAACGTTCCTAGTAGCAGTGCTAAAGTTTTCATGAAGTTCAGAAATACTGAAAGGATATGGAAGAACCATAAGTAAAAGAATATTCTTACTTTTTCCAGCACTTCCACTTTTACCTCGAGACAGGTAGATTTAAGAGCAACATCCTACAGAGTATGTCTGACAAGAGAGTAATGAGTAATTTAGAGAGTTATCTGTGGGCCATTCAAGCTCTAGAATGGATGGATGGTTGTGAATTTTAATACACATTGGTTTTTGTTAATAAGGAAGGAAACTGTGATTAGAACATACAATCTGGAATTATTTGATCATTATTCTTAACTACAGACTACTGGATTACCTCCAGATTCCAAAGCCTTTCAACTATCTTCTGTTCAGAAGGATCTGAATAAAACAATTGTCGAAAGGATTCTTTTTCTCATATGCTGTGTCTTCTTTTTTTGCCTCCCACTCTCTTTCCATCCACTCATGCCTTAGACATATTTTAGCTGCTGATAATCCCTGGAATTTAAAAAGTACAGGCATACCTTGTTTTATTGCACTTCACTTTACTGTGCTTCACAGATACTGCAATTTTACAAATGGATGATTCAAGACTTCAGTGGAGGAAGGAACTGCAGATGTGGTAGAAATAGCAAGAGAACTAGAAGTAGAGCCTAAAGAGGAGACTGAACTGCTGCAATCTCAGGAAAAAAACTTCAGTGGATAAATTGATTCTTACACCTGAACAAAGAAAGTGGTTTCTTGAGATGGACTCTATTCCTATCGAAGAGACTGTGAAGATGGTGGAAATGATAACAAATGATTTAGAATATAACATTTTCTATTCTTAATAAGGCAGCAGGAGGGTTTGAGTATTGACTCCAGTTTTGAAAGAAGTTCTATTGTGGGTAAAATGCTATCAAACAGCATCACATGCTACAGAAAAATCATTAATGAAAGCAAGAGTCAATCGATGACACAAACTTCAACACTGTCTTACTTTAAGGAATTGCCACAGCCATTTAGCCTTCAGCAACCACCACCCTGATGAGTCAGCAGCCATTAACATCAAAGCAAGACCCTCCACCAGCAAAAAGATTATGACCTGCTGAAAGCTCAGATGATGGTTAGCATTTTTTAGCAATAAAGTATTTTTAATTTAGGGTTTGTACATTTTTAAAACATAATGACATTGCACACTTAATAGACTACACTATAGTGTAAACATAATTTTTACATGCCCTGGGAAAACAAAAAATCATTTGACCAGCTTTATCCTGGTGGTCTAGAGCCAAACCAAGGTATGCCTATTAACCAACTATATCCAAAGGTATGCCTATTAACCAACTATATATAAGCTGTGTGGCACTTTTCAGAGTGGTTCTTGTAACAGTCTACTCTCTGGATCAATGAACAGTAGAAAATTAAGTAATTCTATTCACTGACTGCCACCTGAACACCTGGAATCTTATCACTTACATGATTTTCAAGATTACAATGAGATAAAATATCCAGACATTTCATTTGTAGGCCCAAAATAAATGTACACTGTCATCAGATCCGAGATATTGCAGATTACTATTTTAAATGAGATTTTTTTTCACTTAACTTTTACAGTATTAAGAATCAGTATAGCAAAGGGAGTTTGACACTTCTACATCTTCAAGTGGCAGAGCTCAAAAACAATCAAAATGTTTCTTCTGCATAAAACCATCATTATATCTAGTCTCCTTTTCCATAAAGAACAAACGGTGGAAATATTACACATTAAGAAAGCACAGTCGTCTAATTTTTGTTAGTCATAGAAAAGAGCCTTTGGAAATCCAATACTCAGGTTGGAATCTCCTGCCCTTTAGGTCAAAAGGCCATTATTCATTCTCATTGACTCATCATCCTTATTTTTAATGAGATATTACTTACCTTACCAGGTATGGTAAAGATTACGTAAGATTAGGGATATGAAAGTTCCTAGCACATGCCAGGTATAGTAGGCACTCAAAGGTTAGTTCTAATTTTCCCGTCCTGATACTGCACCAAATTAAAAATAAACACACAAAACAACAACAAAAACCGACTTGGATCTGAGAATCATTTAACATAGATTGTATGTACTTTATTTCAGTGAGTGATTCAGTCATGTTACATCTGTCACATAATAGTATCGAGACAGTAAAAAAAAAAAATGTAGGTTCTATTTCCAATAGAACTTCCAGATGGCTTGCTTTTTAAAACAAAAACAAAAACAAAAAACCCCTGTAAACTGGAGTTGGTGGGCATATATTCCTGATCTGTTTCCCGGCTTTAGAATCCTTGGTTCTATAATCCCAGGATTATGGAAACAAAAATACACACATTCAAACCTCCGCTGTAATAAGCATTTGAGCAATTTTTAGTATACTGCTAACAGGAGTCTACTTTGAGACTCGAAAAAACTTCGAGGTTACCCACTGATAAAGGAATGCCACTAAACATCTCTTCCGTGATTTCAATACTCCGAATCGCGCTGTAGCAATAAAGACCTATCTACGAACTACAGCGCGGCGTCCTCGTTGTGCCTTTAAGTTCTGCGCAAGCATTTAGAGATAATTAACCGCGCAGAGACGGACTTAGCGTTGGTCAGCCCGGGGGTTACTGGACAGCGGCGGGGGTCGAGGGGAGCCGGAGAGTGGCAAGAGCCCCGGAAGGCGGGTTTGAAGGCTTTCGGAGTGGAAGCAACGGCGCGGCGGCGTCAAGCCCTGGCGCGGCTGGGACAGCGGCCGACGGCGGAGGGGCGGGGGGCGGGGGGCGCCGGGCGCGCCTCGCCCGGGCCGCGGACCGGCCCCCGCCTCGGGCCGGGTGTGGGCGGGCGCTCGGCGTCCGCTCGGGCCGAGAGGCCGGGCGGGCTCCCGGCGCGAGTGCGCCCCGTCCCGCCTCTTCCCCTTACCACGTAGCCCCCCCACACGTAGAGGAAGTTTCCGTCCACCACGGCGCAGTGGCCGCTGCGCTCCTCCGCCACGCAGAACGGCTGCGAGTCCGCCATCCGCGCCGTCGCCGGGTCCAGCCGCTGGGCGCGCCGCAGCCCCTGCCCACGGAGCGGCCTCTCCTCCCGCCGGGCTCCTCCACGCACGAACGGAACGCGTCGAGGGTCGAGATTGGTGGGAAGGCGGAACGAGTGCGTCTGCGCCGTCCTGCAGCCCGCCCGGGAAGCCCGGCCCAGGTGGCGTTGCCGGTTAGGGATGCTCGGGCCGGAGCCGGGAGGGAGGAGGTGCCTCGGCGTGCGAACCCTGCCACCTGCTGATTTCTTTCCACGGGATCGCGTGGTTTGAGCAGTAGTGCAACCCACCTCTTTATCCGCTTCGTCTTATTCGCTGGACAGATAGACTTGTGGTCCACAGTGTTGATGCTGCTGTGACGTAATCAACATATTAATTAATGCTTTGTGTGGGTTTCCTTTTCCATTCAACCTCCAGCAAAGATGGTTATCCACAAGAATGTTGGTGTGTATTTAATAGAAATTATATATATATATATATATATTAATAGGAAATTTCAAAGACGTCTTCCAACAAATGGCCAGGAGGCCAAAGTCAGTCGGCCGCCTGTTTTTGCAGGGCCCGCAAGCTAAGAACGGTGTTAACATTTTTATTTTTAGTTTTTAGTTTTTTTTAGAGAGGCAGGTATCCCAGAGCCTCGCACCCTGGTGATTCTTGTTTGCCTCTTTGTATTTATTTATTTATTTATTTATTTATTTATTTATTTATTTATTTATTTATTTATTTATTTATTTATTTGATTTTATATACTTATTCACCAGAGACACAGAGATAGAGGCAGAGACGCAGGCAGAGGGGGAAGCAGGCCTCATGCAGGGAGCCTGACGTGAGCCTGGATCCGGGGCGGGGGTCTCCAGGATCACACCTCCGGGCTGAAGGCGGCGCAGTTAAAACTGCTGAGCCACCAGGGCTGCCCGGTGTTACATTTTTAAATGGTTGAAAAAAATCAAGAGAAGAATGCTGTTTTGTGACTCATGAAAATGAAAAGAATCCAAAGTTCATCGTCAGTAACATGAAGTTTTATTGGCACACAGCCACCCTAATTCGTTTAAGTGTTGACTAAGGCTGCTTATACACAACCATCGGGTTGAGTAATCTGACTTGAACAGTTGCAACAAAGACCAGATAGCCCACACTGCTAGAAATATTTACCATCTGGCCCCTCTACAGACAAAGCTGGCGAACTCTTGTTATTATATGATGCTATGAAGTAAAACTATGATCAGGAAGGAAAATAATAATTCTACCAGTGTCTGTAAATGTGCTTGTCCGGAGTCATTCTTTGAAGATTGTGGCTGCCCATTACTCAGAATAAGTTCACTCATTCATGTACTCAGTACACATTAAGTACCTGGTTAATGCAGACAGTCTGTTCTCAGGCTCTGTTAGACTGGAAATTCTGAAGGAATCAGGTAGTATTGACTTCCCAGAACCTAGTACCAAATAGATGGCAAATAAATATTTGTTGACTAAATAACAAAGTGAATTTTAAGACAAATAAGACAGTTCTACCACAGAAATCCAGTTAGAGGGGAAGATATATATAAATACATGCAGTGTGGGATAAGAAGTGGTATAGTAGAAATGTGGACAAAATACAGCAGAAAAATCGGAAGGAAAGATGTGCTCTATTGAGGAAGGGGATGCACAAAGAGAGACACTTGAGTCTACTTATAAGTCATATAGATAGTTCAGTATGACTAGAATGCTTATAGAGAGCAACCAGGATAAAGTTGGGACAGCAATCACACAGCCTTGTTCATTATGCCAGGGAGTCTACACTTTAAGGCCAAATGGTCTTAACTGGGGAGGAAATAATGTAACTTAATTATTAAAACATTTACTTTGGATTGTGGGGCTCAAGACAGAAAGATGGATAGCACCCAGCATAGGTTTGGTGTAAAGTAGGTGCTCAGTAAATGGTGGTAGCACTAGTAGTAGTTATTAATATATGTAACCTACATGTGCACTCTGGGTCTTTGTCCCAGGAACCCCCTTTCCACCTGCAGTAGAATTCCAAAGCCCTCTCCAAGATTTCTGTGAGTTTTTAGGATTATAATCTCATAGTCACCCTGGCTTTAAAACTCCTACTGCTACTGGCAAAATTCCACTCACAGATTTATGGATCTTCTACCTATGGAGCATGCTAGATCCCTTCTCTGATGCATCACTCCAGGCATGAAACTCAGAGGCGTACCATATTTTCTTTTAAAACCCACTCTTTAAAGTAATTTGAATTTCTACTAAGTTTTACTGCAATAAAAGATAAAAGTAAAAAGATGACAGAGAAGGGGTTTATATCACAGAAAATAATTTCAAATAGAACATTGTATACCCTTGTTCCTCAGACTCCATTAGCCACCCCATTGTTGCAGCTTTTGTCAAAAAGATAAAGTCAGACACTAGTTGGAAGAGGTGAGGGCAGTTTGTTTGTTTGTTTGTTTGTTTGTTTCTTTTTTTAGTAGTGAACTACTGCAAGAAGGAAGAGGGTCCAGTATGACCTGAAATCAACTTCATGGAAACAGAAAGCTGGAGACTTTTGAAAGGCAGGGATGTGCTAAGAGAAGGCACCGAGGAGTGCTAAGGGCGGGGGTGATCCTTGTGACTAAGCCATCTGGGCTTGTTAATTGGAGCCTAACCAGAGAAGAAACAAACTTCTATCTTTATGACCAGAGCTGGTGGTGCAAGTTAAAGCAAGGCATCTACCAAAGTTGAGCCTTTATCTTCCCACTCAGGAACTGGGATTGAGAGCATATCTCCCTGAATGTTTGCGTTTCAAAAAGACAGCTCTCCCATCTTCAGAGAAACGGCTTGGGGGGTAGATTTACATCTCAAAGGCAGAGAAAGTATTTATAATTGCAAACTTTCTGGAGTAACTGCTGTAAGACGGGGCTCGGAATCTATCTCCCTACCAGAGTTGGGACTGGAACAAACCAAATTCTCCTGGCAGCATTAAGCTTTCTCAGGAAGGCAACTCTAAGGGGTCCTGGGGTTGTTCTAGAGGTTGGGCCTTGAGCTGTTAGAAACTGTGCTAATGTTCACGTCTCTAAGTGTGTGTACATGGAAGGCATGGGAGATAAAATCATTTGTGATTGCGGCCCAGCTGAGAGGAGTGCTCAGGAGAGCACGACTTGAGTTTGGTCAAGAAGAGAGTCTTGGTCACCTTTGCATTGGTCTTCTCTCCTTAGTCCCCAGTCTCAGAACCTTTTGCTGACTCTTCTCTACTATTCTATCCCTCCAAGACTGTC